TGTTCCGATCGATATGATCCCTACACAGTGTTCTTTGCTCCCTACTCTCTGAGCGGGGGAAATCCGTTGAAGTTTACTTCACTTCAGAACATTCATTCACGGATTTGCGCTGCGCAGCGTCTTCACACACATCACACTCACACACACACGTCTTCACATCCAGTGCGAGGACTGGAATTGGGAACCGCTGATGTAGCTTATTGTAGTAATGTTGTCTCTGGTATTCTGGTCTGTGAGCGTATATGCGTTTAGGGGCGTGGCTTTGGACGGCGATTGCAGGGAGGGTGGGACGTTCGCTTTCAGTGCTATCAGGCTAAAGTTAGCATTTTCCAAGATCTCCTACTGCACCTTTAAGCCTTGTCTGTGAAACCGGGGGATAATGTAGTAAGTTTAATACCACTTAATTAAAAACAAATATATAAGCAATATCACACTCGTAGACACAATATATGGCTGTATATTCGGCCGCAGGTAATCACAGCGTGCCAATATATAGCCATATCTCACGTCTACGAGTGTGATACTGCGTTTATACAACAGTTCGATGCCACAAGTGTGTAAATACATAAACAAAATAACAACGGAGTGTCTTTAAAAGCCCTCTTTTGTGCAGAGCTACTTCCTTCCGCCACAGATTCAAATCTAAAGTTGACAGTTTAACAGCTGAGCCCAAGCCTCGTTACTAATTACAAAACGTCTCTTTAGAACCAGTAACAAAGGAACGTTGAGTTGCTTCATTGAAAGCTTATTGTATTACTGTACTAAAAACTGTGTATTATGTGTAGTAGAGTATTATGAAGAGACGGATTGAGCGGGTGTGATTACCTACATCTGATCCAGCATTCATTCTTCAGATCAATCTCATATTCACAATAAAACATTAGTTTGAATGTCTGCTGAGGAAAGCGATATCTTTGTCGTAACGTTAATATCCTTTCATCTGTTAAGGGTGATTTTGCTGCTCAGTGCATTTGTTCGCTGCGTCAAGCTGTTGTTGAAACTAAAAATAACTTCCGTTTATAGCGTTTTTCAAAGTAAAAGTCTTTACTGCTGACTCATAAAAACAGTCTCTTGTCGCCATCTAATGGCGGAACAATGTAACTAAAAACTTTTTTGAAACACTGCTTCATGAAGCTTCGAAACCTTTGCGAACCATTTGTTTCGAAACAGTGGTTCGGAGCGCGTATCAAAATGCCAAAGTCACGTGATTTCAGTAAACGAGGCTTCGTTACGTCATAATTGTTTCGAAATTTCAATAGTTTGCCTTTGGGGGGCGATCTCTGATCTCTGAATCCGTGAATCATGTGAGTTCATTGACCTAGCCTCCCAGCGTCTCTGATCTCGGATCAGTTTTATCAATTTGTAGACATTTTTAACGAGACATGTGTGTAATTAAGGATATGAGTTGTAGTCTTA